ACAGAGCTGCCTTCAGGAGTCTGCAGGGAGCCTGCATCCATAGCTCTGCCTCCAGACAAATCATTGGCCTGTTAACTCTGAAACATAATGATGACTCATTGGAACCTAAATTTCCAGTCCATATCATGGTATAACAGTGAGCAATCTCCTAGTTGAAAGGACTGACTCGCTGGGGAGGGGCTAACATTTTCAGAGGTACTGACACCTTCCCGCCTTAGTGTTCTTGGCCCCAAAAGCCCTGCCTGCAGAGCGTCGCCGTTAGCTACTAACAGCGCAGGGTCTGCCGCACACAACCGCACAGCGTGTGGGCTGGCTTTTGGGCTGGATACTTCTGCCCCAGGCCCTACGCTGAGGTGCCCCGTTCTCTCACAGCTGTCGAAGTAGCTTTGCCCGTAGCTCTCCTTGGTCTCGGGAGGGAGGTGGCGCCAGATCTGCTCCACGGACTCCAGGATGCGCTGGACGCGATCTTCACGCCGAAGGGCTGCAGTTCGCGCCTGGAACGGAACGAGCCCGTCACCACCAGCCAGGGCTGGCCGTGGGATTCCTAGAGCCCCTTAGGGCCCGCCTCTGATTTTGGGGTATTCTCAACTCCACTTTTGGGAACAAGGCCCAACACTTCTTGAGTGGGGCCCCTTCCAGTCAAAGCACCCGGAAGGGACAGGTGGACCAGGGAACTGGGGGGATGATATCGGAACTAGAGAGGTGGGGGTCCCGCAGCACCGCAGGTCTCCCAGCCTAGTGCTTGGAGTCCTGGCATCCTTGTCACGTTCCTGACTTCTGTCCTGCGTGCTGGAGTCCAGATTAGCGGGCAGCCGAGAGCCCAGCACTGGGATAACGACTCCTAGCCTCACATGCTGGGGCTTTGCTAGGGATGGGTCTGGACAGGGGCAAAGGGACAGATCACCCCCCCTTTGAACAGTGTCCCCACGCCCCTGCCTCAAAGGACCCGCTCCCCAGGTCTCTGGGAATCGGGCTCATTAAAGGGGTTTCAGGACAGGCCCTCAAAGGCAGAGGTCCCCGGAATCACTATGACTATGGAAATGCCTACCCCTCCCCCCCGGCCGAGGTGGGGCCGGCTCGCGTGGGTACCTGAGGCTGTCGGAGAACGCCTCCACGCCGTACTTAGAAATGCAGTAGCCCCCTCCGTTGAAGGCCAGGCGGCCCAGGATACTGGCCATGTTGATGACCCGGCCCCTGGCTCGCTTCACCAGGGGCAGGAGGCTGAGGGTCACCTCGATGAGGCCGAGCAGGTTCACGTTCAGCACCGAGACGAAGTCGTCCTTGGTCAGCCACTCGTTGGGGGCCACGGGATGGACGACGCCTGCATTGTTCACCAAACCCCACAGCCCTGGGAATACGAGACAGTGAACGAGCATGTGGGGGGGCTCCCCTTTGGATCTGAAATCCCCTCACAGCACCAATGTTCATCCACGCCTGGCAATTAAACCCACCCCCATCCCGGCCTCGCTCCCCCACGTGGGGCATCTGCCAAAGGGCCATTTCTCTGTGCGTGGCCTGGGACCATCTGCCTCGTGCTGGGCTTATCCGGCATCGTGGCTTCCCTGCCTGTGTCACTGGGCCCTGCCCCTCTGCTGTAAACCACTAGACCCCTACGCCTCTCCCAGGACAGGACTAGAACCCAGGAGTCCTGGCTCCCAGCATCATCTACTCTAAACAGCACACCCCCTTCCCCACCGGTTACAGAAACGGGAATAGGATCCAGCTGTGCTGGCTCCGAGCTCCAACTCGCTGACCACTACACCTCACTCCCTTCCCCCAGGATGGGAAAGGAAACCTGGAGTTCCGGCTCCTAGCTCCTACTGCTCTCACTACAAGACCCCACTCCCTCTCCCCACAATTGGAATAGAAGCCAGGAGCCCTTGCTCCCAGCGCCTGCTGCTCTCACCACTAGACCCCACTCTCTCCCCCCAGGATGGGAATAGAAGCCTGGAATTCTCGCTGTCCATCTTTCGCTCTTCTTCTGCTTCTGGCATTAGCACCGCCCCAGCCTGTGCGAACTCAGAGCTGTCCTTGGGAAAGGCAGGGAGAAAACAATGGGGCGGATGGAGGATTTAGAGGCCCCACCTTTGTCCCCCACTTGCACCTTCACCCAGGCGGCCGCGGCGGCGATGCTGTCACTGCGGGTGACATCCAGGATCACCGTCTGCAGCCGCTCCGAGGGCGGCTGACTCCGCCTGTCTGC